TTTGGCAAGCACCTCGGCCATGCTTACTTTGGAATTTTTTGATATGGGGAACATCAAATCTTTAGATTGCACCCCTAGACTAGCTATGAAGCCAGTGATGGTGAACTTTTCATCTGGGACATCCACCTTTAACGACTCCGAATTAAATCTTTGGATATAAGACCTGAGGTTTTCTTGAGGTCCCTGTTTCACATTCAAAAAGTGATAGCTCGGCTTTCTATAGGTCCGAGCCCCTATGAAGTGGGATACGAAGGAAATGAAAAGTTCTTTGAAGGAAGATATTGAGGCCGGGGGGAGCCTGTTAAACCATGCCAAGGGTGAACCCTTCAAGGTGATGGCAAAGGCTCGACAGCATATAGGTTCCCGGTACCCATGCAACTCCATCTGGTTCTTATAAGAATTGAGGTGGTCCATGAGGTCCTTGGTTCCATCAAAGAACTCTATCTGTGGCATCCTGAACTTTGGTGGGAGGGGAAAATGCAACACCCCAGCCGTAATGGAGATTCAGTCTGCTGCACCAAGGCGTCCATTGTAACTGGAGCTTTACTTCTGACCGCTTCCTTCATGTGGCTGAGCTCCTGTTGGATGCCCTTGAAGCGTTGCTCCCAATATTGTTCCCTTCTCTCCTACTAATAAGGGAAGACATCATTCTTTTCACCTCCATGGTTTTGACTTTGTACTTCTTTATTGTGGCCATTCCTAGGGGGTAGTTGGGGAACTTGGCCCAAGGTCTGGCTGTTCTCCCCTCCTTTGTTGTCTTCTCTGAGTGGATCAAGGTGTTGTTGATCCCTGTGACGGGGACTGTTCTGACCTTCTTGGGCCGGACGTGCCTCCTGTGGGCACTGTAAGAGCTTCAAGAGCTCTTCGTTTTGCTTTAACAAGCGTTGATAAATGAGGCGAAGGGCCTCCATCTCGTTATTCGTAGGGAGATTCCCCATAGGAGGATTAGTCTCTAGGACATTCTCGGGCTGTCTACCATTGGTGGCTCTATGTTGATCCTACATCCGAGGTGGGTTTGTTTAGCTTCTTCTTATGTTTCGTGTTGATACCATGAGTCATTGGGAGATCAGCTTATTTGTAACAGGAATAGTCGTTCCCACAGACGGCGCCAAACTGATGGTGCAAACTAACGTGGGTGAACAGAGTGCATGGGACCAAAGGTGAATCTAGGCTGCCATCTTCATAATGACAGTGATGAAGTGTTTCTTAGGGGGTAGGAGAATTTGTACAGAAGGAATATAGTGGTTCACTGGCTTTAGAGCTCGGCTAATCCACTCTCTAATAGAGGCTCTTGCTCCTTTTTTCTCTATTGATTACTCGAATGTATTTCCAGTACAATGTATGATCTAATTATGGTTTTTCTAGGGTCCCCCCTCTCGATGAGGTGTTACATAGTATTTATAAGGCTGCTCCGTATTCTGTGGGATTTCAGCCGAGATCTTTGCCAATTATTCATGAGATCCTCCTTGATTTTAGGAGAGAATTTTGGTTGGTTGGGAGTTTCATGCATTGGGCTCAATTTTCGCAGTCATCTAGCTGTTTCTTGGTCAGTTCTGCTACGATCTCCCCAAGGGAAGCTCTACCCCTAGTTCTCTGAGTTCTCCGTGTCTTTTCTGACCTGACCTTATTTCCTGTGCTCACAGCTAGGGCTTGTTTGAGGTATCATCAAGTATAAATACTTAAGTTATATTGTTTTCAACAACTTAAACTTTTAAAGTAGATGGTTATTTAACGCACCGAAGTTTTTTTTGAATAAGTGATCAACCAAATCCCGTGTTTCTTTAGTGGCACAAATTTGACTATCTCGTTAAAGGATGGATCATTGGCACTCTCTCTTAAGAAGTCCTTGGCATTGCTGTTAGACTCAATACTACCATTGAAGTCTGGAATGCATTGGCTCGCATCTCATCGGATTTAAACAGCGACTTACTTCCATGACGCAAGGGACCAATACTTTGGTTGCTTCCAGTTTAAGTTCGATTGTGATGATCTAGCTGCTACTACCAAACCTGTCTCTAGTCAAAAAAAATCGTGGCTCCTTCATGGTCTTGGCAAAGACTATGAAATCTTTAACACAATGATGCTTCGTCCTCCGGTTCCACCATACTCTGAGGTCGTTACACTCTTAAGGAGTTATGCTGAATGACAGCGCCTTGATGCCCCACAAGATATGCAAATGGCATTCTATGGACAATGCACCAATTCCCAATCTCACAAAAATAAGCAAAATGCTAGTAGTTCGGCACCCACAGGTGCACTTCTGGGCTTCACCTCCAAAGGTTGTGGGTTTGCTCAAGGGTACGAATCTGGCCAAAAAAACACTTCTACCGAATCTTTCAACTAGCAGGCTACCAATCGCCACAATGTTTCCCTTAAATGAGGCACAAGGGATGAGACACCTGTGTGTTAAATTTTCAATAAACAGAACCACACGATAGTATTCCACAAGCCCTTGTAGTCGTTACCCTTGTCGCTAATCAAGATTCTGCTTGGTTTCCCAATACTGGCACCACAGACCATATCACGAGTAATTCAAGTAATCTCAACTCTCTCATCCTCATCATAGTTTTGAGGGTGTAATAGTGGGAAATGGTCATATCTTACCTATTACTCATATTGGTTGAGTTTTAGTTGGCACCAATAATTCCTCCATTACATTAAAAGATGACTTTTTATTGGTTCTAAGTATGAAGAAATACCTTTTATCTATTAGAAAGCTTAGTAATGATTTTACACATACTTTTACATTTGAGAAATGCTTGTGTGAAAAAGGAGTTGAAAATGAACCGTATAGTGGCAAAAGGGAGTAAACGTGGTGGTGGCTTGTATTGTTGGCACCATTGACTCCGGCGTCCACATCAATGGATTGTTGATTCCTTGCACTCTAGATTGTTTATTTCATTTGATTAGAAGGTTAAGAATTTAACACTTTGTGACAGTTGCAAAAATGGGCAGGTCATGTCAACTGCCTTTTTTGCACGTGGAACATGAAATAAACTCTCATTTTTTAAGATTCATTGTGATTCGTGGGGAGTTGGCCCAATTCTATCTAGAGAGTATTTTCGCTTTTATGCTATTTTTATTGATGAGTATACCAAATTTACATTGTTTTTTCCTTTCGGATCTTTTTGAATGCTTAGCTCATTTATTCAAGTATGTGCTTTGCAATTTAATGCAAAAATTTGTCTTTCAAAGTGATAAGGGCGGTGAATTTGCAGACCATGACTTCAAACAATGTTTGACACATAAGGGTATTCAACATCAATCCGTTTGTCATAAAATGTCGGAACAAAATGGAAAAGTTGAGCGCAAACATCACAACATCACAGAACTCGGCCTCCCTCACTATGATGTTTCATGCTCATTTTCCGTTGGGATTTTGGGTGTACTAATTTTCTACCGCTATGTATTTTTTTGAATCACCTACCTTCTCCGAGTCTTGGCATGGATTCCCTATTTTTTTGTCTCTATGGGAAGCTCCTTGACTATACCTCGTCATGAATGCTTGGATGCAAATGTTTTCCATATCTTGGTGACTATCCGACGAGCAAATTGGATCTCAAATCACTTTCCGTGTGTTTTCATTGATCATAGTTAGAAGCATAAAGGGTACAAAATGCCTTTATGGCCGTGTGTATATTTCTCTACATTTTGTGTTTGATGAAGCAATTCTTCCCTACTCTGAATCCACTTGGCTTCATGGCACCGACACCATTAATAGTGAACTCTCGACATTCACCGAATGGGAAGAATCTCCTTCATAATTGTCATCTTGACCTTTGACAGAACCTTCTCTATTGGTATACTTCGGTTTGCTCGCCAACAACGGTTGTCCTTTCTCCAGTGGAACTGTTGGGATTTAACTCGATTTAAATCCACTAACAAACATACACAATCGAAGAACAAATCAAGAATATAAAGCAATAAGAAACAAGAAAGAACAAGACACAGATTTTACGTGGTTCGGCAATTTGCCTACGTCCACGAAGCTGCAGGGATTTCACTATTGAGAGAGTTGAATTACAGAGAGCGGCTGTACAATCCACGATTAACCCTAATCACCAAAACAATAGGGTTTATATGTCCTACGCACTGGGCTGTATAACGGGCCCAAAAATTTTTTTCCTCGGGGGCGTTGCCCCCGAACCCCCATGAGACTTGTCCATGAGCGCTACGGCTTGGGCCTATCGGCCCAAGCCTTCGCTCCATGGACTAAGCCTCAAAAAATTTTCCATTAAAAACCACACAACATTATTTCGGATCGGGTCATCATCCGGATCACATATACAAACTAGACTCCATAAAAAAAACCACACAGGAACTTGATGAGCCCAAATTTTACTGGGCCAAGCCCAATTTAAATTAATCGAGAAAAGCCCAAAGAAGCGTCTAATGTCAACTCATTAAGGAAGACACCAAGAGGACAACACCAAAAGCCAAAGGCCAAAGCAGGAGGAAGACGAGGTAGCCCTTGGGCACCACCCATGGCAGCCCCTTGGGTGCCCGTCCTCTTGTTCCTCTTCACCTTGATACTCTAATCCGAGTCCAAGCCAAACTTACTCAAGCCAAGTCCAAGTCCAAGACGAGGGTCAAGCTCGATCCAACTAATGTTCTCCTCCGGATGAATAAGAGCACGAAGGAAGATAATATGGAGATAGACAAAGAAGGTCTCCTACCATAACAATACTTGCCAAAGCAATATAATTCTTCTCCTTCACGTCACCACCTTTGCTACCTTACCCTAGCTATATAATGTAAGCCCTCTCAACATTGATGGCAGACCTCCAAAATCTGTACACACTCTTATACATACTTGCTCTTTCTTATTCTCCCTAAAAGTACTGTAACTCTCCGGAGTACCATCACTCATCAATAAAGAACACCGGCCACCGCTGCCATTTCTAAAAGTGGAGTAAGTCATCCGAGACCAAACCACTATAAGTTTCTGAGTTCTTATTTACTATTTTTTCCATTAATTGCTTGTTACTCATTGATTGCACCTATTCACTTTCTTGACTGTTGATCTTGCACAAGATAATTTTGTGCATCATCAGAACTCTCTGTTGCATGTTCATCTTTAGGGTCCATTTCTGCTGCTCCACTCCGTAATTATTCAGTGCCAGCACTACCTTTTTTGGACTACCGGAAGTCACCTCTTGTTCTTGCCTCATCTGGTCTGCTTCTCGTTCTGACGTAGACCCACATCCAACAGCTAACTACCCAACTACTCCACATCAGCATTCCATAGTCACAAGGTCCAACTTGGCATTCATAAGCCTAATCCGAAGTATACCAACTTTCTTGTCGCTCGTGTGTACAACGACATCCCATCTGTCCTCACTCTATAAAAGTAACTAAACCACATCAAGGATGGGCTGCTGCAATGGATGAAGAACTCACTGCCCTTACTGCAAATCACACCTGGACTCTTGTTTCGCCTAGACCCGATATGAACATTGTCGAATGCAAATGGGTATAGAAGGCTAAACTCCATTCAGATGGCTTGCTTGAGAGTCTCAAAGCTTGCCTTATCGTAAAGGGGTTTAGTCAGGTTGATGGTGTCGATTTTTCTGAAACCTATTCCCCGGTTGTCAAGCTTGCAAGCATTCATCTTACTATCACAGTTGCCATTGTCAAAGGCTAAGAGATTCGGCAGTTTGAGGTTAAGAATGTGTTTCTCCATGGTCATCTCTCTACCATCGTTTACATGAAACAACCCAAGGTTATGTTGATCCATCCTTTCTAACACATGTGTGCAAGCTCTGTCGTGCCTCATGGCCTTAAACAAGCCCTTAGGCCCAGTTCGATCAACTTAGTGATTGTGTCCTGACTCTTGGTTTTTATTGTAGACCTGCCGATCCAAGCATGTTTGTGTGCAAATCGGAATATGGTCTTCTTATCTTACTATTGTATGTCAATGATATGGTTGTTACGATTGACAACCCCTCTAGCATCATTGGCTTATCTCTCAATTGCACTATTTCAATGGAACTTTTAATCTTTATGCGTTTCCTGATGTTGATTGGACCAGATTGTCCTCTTAGTCATCACTCCACCATTGGGTTTTGTACTTCTTACGTGGAAACTGTAAATCTTGGAGTGCATGGACTCTCACTATATAAGTTGAATATATAGACTTTCTCTCACTCACTATTAGATAGAATTTCTCAAAGTTTTTAGGTTGGTCACAGGGGACTTCAATTGGTCCTTTCTCTCTCCTTTTTCAAAAGTGAGCGGTGATTTTCCTTCTTTGAGGTTACCTCATTTTTGGGATGATGTTTGGCCGTGCCACTCTCTTTAGAGATGCCAGCTATAATTTTTATCAATTCACAAGGTTCTCATGACCTTAAAGTGATAGACTGCATTCAATATGAAGGGGAAATTTTTTTTTTATCTCCCTATTTAACTACCCATCCAAGAGCATTTGGCTTCAAAATAATTGAATAAAGAAAAGCCATCATACAAAAAAATTACTTTTCTGGTACCATAGTTTAGCCATAAACAAAATAGTTTTTAATATTCAGTGTTTAACTGACATAACAACAAAAGTAACGGTAATAACAAATTCACCATGTGGGTTAAAGATCCATCCCAAATTTTATTTTTTTTAGTAAATTCTGAAATTTGAACATTGACAAGCAATATTTAGTCTTTTTTTTTTGTGTGTATAACAAACATTATTTAGTACCTGACCGAAATCACTAGGGCAAGCACATGGATCTATTACACCTCACTGTCTTAGTTTTGTTATCTTTTCTTTGCTGTTTCTGCAGTGATGGTTTGAAGCTATTGTAAGTTTTACAGTATGGAAGAGATTTGGTGAAGGTAGACAACAAACAATGGCTAGCTTGTGACCAATGGATAGCCACGACACTAAGCATGATCTTAGTTTGTTATATGTTACAAGCCATAGATATATGTAGTTTGACGGCACCAAAGTGTGCCTACCTATAAATGTCACACTTATACTTATCAAGTCTAGATTCAGTATGAATGTTGCCTATCTATAATACTGCCACACAAATAACTATACACATGTAAGGTCAATTAGAAGAAAAAAAAAAGACGGCCTATTGCACGACAGCATGAGGCTATTGCCAGTTAGTGTCTAAGGAGGGCCTGTACTTGCAAAGACTTTCCACAACATAAGAAGTCGATTACGTAATCATAGTATAGCACACTTGTTTTTGGCAAGAGATGTATAATGAGACTTACCTGTTTTATTTATGACATGAAAATGACTTCAATTGTGGCAACTGATTTTAATAACCTATCCAATGTGTGGGTGTAGCAAAATGTTAACCCCATGCTGGACTTGATCTTAGATCTCATTTTAGAATTTCTTTCAGTTTAACATCAAAACTGGTTAATTTTTTTCAGATAAATGATTTTGAAGGAGAGGGTCTAGCAATTGGTCTAAGATGCACCCTCATGCAAGTAGACCTAACTTCTGCTACCTTACTTATGAAATTGTGGACTGAGGTTCAACAAGGTGTACTTGTTGCACACCCTCCACTCTTCCATCTACCTGACTCCAATTGACGATATCCTCCGAGCATTGACACAAATTCAATCAGATACTTGAAAACAAAGTCCAAGGAAGAAGCTCCCTCAGTGAAGATGGCCACGGCTACGTTCATATTTTCAAACTCAAAGATCAAGTAGTGTCTCTCAGAAATCCATTGTAAGTGCCCTGAATCCACTCCATTTGATTTACTAGTAGCTCTGTTTTGGATGCGCATCATGCGATTGAAGGTACCTCCACATGGTGGTAGTACGCACTCCCTATCTTTTTGTGTAGATTTTAGGAACCTCATGCATGGACGAGTCCCTCTCGATTATTTTGGTAATGGTATACATATCTCACCATTGTCATTAAATGCTGAGGGATTGAATGGTATTGGATTAGGACACATGGCAGACCTCGTGCATCGACATGTGGTAGATCTCGAGGAAGAAGAGTTTTGTACAGTCCTAGGTTGGTTTGAATTACAATAGGGAGAGAGTAAGCAGTATCCACAACCATTTAGAATGTATGACCCTGAATTGACATGCATTAGCATGGAACACATGAACAATTCAGGGGGCGAAAAGATAGCACGAATCCATCGTTGATGTATGCAGTGATGTTCGAGAAGGACATAAAGCCTGTCCATGTGACATATTATGTGGGGAATGTCAAAGGGGAAGGGTTGATTATGGTGATGCCTTCACTTGAGGACGGGCTCGGACAAACTGTGATGGTGACACTACCGGAGGAGCAGATGGCCGAACTGTTGTTAGTCATGTTTATTGATATTTCTAACTGGCTTTATTTACAGATGATGCTACATAGAATGGTCTTGTAAACAGGTGAAAATGATGGGAAGCCTATCCATTTGGAAATGTAGAAAGGGAAAGGTGGATTATGGTGATGCCAAAGATGGAAATTTCATTTCGCTTTGACCAAGGAGATCAAAAAAATTTTGTCTCCATAAAAATGTGTGCGGATCACAATAGAGGTGACTAATACTGAGTATAGTCACATTGTGCAGGATAGAACACCATAATGCCTGAAAGTAAGGATTTTGGAATTTAGAATTGCCAATATGAAATTGTATTACTCTATTTTTTCCATGATTAAGTCTAAATACAGTTTCGAAGAGAAATCTAAGGATAAATTTTCATAAGGATTGCAATAGATTTTTGTACACTTTATTATATCTTACAGGTGATTTGCTGTGAACCCAACAACTAATTGTGTCTCTAATTCAAAGCTGCTATCAATGCATATACTTGCATTTGAAAGTTACAGATGTCCTGAGGATTATGGCTTTGAAGACTAATGGGGCTCTTCAGTTATGAGAATTCAACCGTGGATTAACATGGTGATATCAAATTATTAGCATCTTTAATCATCTTTCTGCCAGTACATATTTGATCAACAACTTACTAATCCATGTAATATGCCCCTTTATTATTCAGCGAGAACCTGAATACTTTGAAGAGCAGAAAGTACAAACATGTATCATTTACTATTCATGACTTCTCTCTTTAATACCATAATAAGTGTTAATTATCCAACTACCGTTGTTTTGGATCTTATTTGCCCAAAGACCATGGTTTTACACTTATTTACCAAACTATCGTTTGAAAAAAAAAATGTATTTTCACTACATGTTTTAAAAGGTAGAGTTATACTTAGGTGGATTAACACTAGCATGCACCAGCAGACACACCCTCTGTTGTGCCTATATCATTCAGGGAACATCTATCCTTTGATTATAACCATATTAACAACGCTCATCCTAAATATGTAAACAGACCATATATGTGAACGGATGAACCTATAAGTTCACCTAGCAAATTAGATTTGCAACTAGCAAATAAGCTACCTTTTAGCACATCCACCAAACTTGCCTAATAATTGACATGCTTGCTCCTTATAGAAAGTTTGTGATTTTATAATTCTTTATTCATTCTAGTGTTCATCTACCATTGAAGTGAATCTCATAGAACACCCGATCATTAAAAACCAACATCTGTAGAATCTAACTCAGTCAGAGACTGCCCAAACATTGATATTTTCACTATGTCGAATAATTTTCAAATCAATAACTCAATTTGTCAAGAATAATAAAAAAAATTCTTGAATTGATTACACACATACTCAACATATTAACACTGCAATTATATTTACACTACCAGAAAAGGCAACAATATCCTGCTACGGAAGATACAAAAACAACATCATGCATCACATCAAGCTGATAACTTTTTTTTGGTGGTGGTGTATTAGCAAACCTCCATGAAACCTGATAAAGAGCTTCAGTAGTTTTCTCCCCCGCCACCTCACTGATGGGCACCGAATCAGAAATTTCTTTAAGGCCATCGTTTGTGAGATTCTCTTTCATGGAACCAATGTTAGCAAGAAGATTCTTAATTTTAGTTGCTCCTAAGAAAATGCCAGGAGAGGCTCAAAGCTAATTGAGGTCATCCTTTGTGCATTGATTTTTCTACTTATGTTTAGATCATCTGATTTATGAATTTCATTGGGTTAGGCTGTTCGGGTTTTAAAAATTTGAAAATATTTTGTCCTAGTCTCACAGTCTCCCCAATCTCATGTGAAACTTTAATCTGGATTATAATCTGAAACATACCCTAATCTGGAATTTTATCTTTAGATCTTGATTTTTTTTTGTTTACTCTTTTTTTTTTTTGTTTTGGTTATTTACACTCATTTTTTTGTTATTTAGGAAAATGAGTAGTTTGGAGTATTCTTCTGGTAGCTGGAATGAACCAGATCCTAATGATCACACCTTGTACGGAAGTACATTACAAAATTAGTCAAAATTGGAGGAGGTGGAGAAAATATTAAATTTAAATGCAACTATTGTCAACAAAGTTTTAGATTGGAGGCATGAGACCTTCTGTCCACTGGCCCAGGCAATAGGAGAGGTCTCTTCGAGATAGGTGTTCACGAATATGCCCTCGAGAGCATCATTTGTTGGTTTTGTGGATGGCTTGCCCATTTCTGATGCATTTTTAGTCGTCAAGCCTATTGAGAATGTAGATGTAAACGGTGAAAATGTGTCTGCCTCTCACATTGGTTGATGAGTATGATTTCTATATTTTGTCTTCTCTTTCTTAAAAAATGAACAAATTATCTAGGACAGAAATGTTTCGGTGAAAGAAAATCCAATACTTAAGTTCGTAAGTATATGAAAGAAATGTGTATGAAGAGAAGGTTGTGTGTACTTTTTACTATGCATCCTCGACCCTTTATATAGTGTCTTTTTTCTTGTTAGGGTTCCCTTAATTGACCATGTAAGGTGGCACACATCCTATCAATCTAGAATATTTGTTAGGGATTGTTAAATTCTCTCCACACGCTCCCTCTATTGATTAGTTCTTCCCAAGCCAATGATTATGCTTATTTATGACACCTAAATCCCCTAATTGTAGGCATTCCCCTACTTTAAGGTTATTCCGAATGGAGCTCTTGCTTCTTCTACTGAGCTCTCAATGACTCACTTCGGCATCATGAACCGAGTATTCATTGTTTGGTTTGACTTCTATTTCACTGTTCCCCCACATGATCTGTCTCATCATTTTCACGTGAGTGCATTAATTGCTCCCTACACGTACCACAATTTTATGCCCCTTCAGTAGACATTATCTTGTTTTATTTTCCTCAGGCCCGAACATTAATGATGATCGAACATGTGGGCTTATTGATGTGATGAGTAGTAGAGAATGATTAGTTATATTTTCACACTATACATTGGGACCCACACCAAATTCCAAAACAGTCGACTGAAGGCATGATTCTTGTTGACGTGGGTTGGTCAGGTGATGCATCATTTAATAATTGATGCGCACCTCACAAATGCTTGGCATAACTCATTAAATGTTTAGATGATATACATTGAATGGTCGATCCACCAAGCAAGGTAATCATTACAATGTTTGACCCCGAGTAAACGCCAGCCTTCTCAGGCCTAATACATGTGTGGCTCGAGAGAGCCACTAATTACTCGCCTCTAGAGATATACTATTTTCTGACTTAATGTGACTGACGACGTGTCATGACATCATTTCTCAAGGTATAAATAGCCCAAATGAATGGGTCTTAGGCATGCAAGTGTAACCCAACTTATATAGTATTCTCAATGTTCTCAAGCTACACACCAACTGACTTAGGCATCAGAGGAGACATGATATATCTCTGACCCCATTCTAGTCTTGTTCCTTGTTATAGAAATCACACGAACAACCAGGTGTCACTATCCCAACTATTGCGTAGGATTCATCCTATGCAGTTTGCTACTATCTATGGAAAACTACGAACATAGTTCTCACGCAACAGATACCATGGCAAACACCCATTCTCAAGGCAATGCAGAGGAAAACCTTCGTGCACAAAACAAGAAAGTTATTTCGTCCCCTATTCCATCAGTGTTCAAGTCAGTGGCACGGACTAAGAGCATGCATCACAATTCCCAGCAGCGTACTCAACACACAACTAGACCCTCGACCTTCAAGGGGGAATACTCCTTGCTCATGAGTGGGTCGATCTGATCGAATAACAATTGGGTGATCGGCTAAAACAAATAAAACAAGATAATGTCTATGGAGGGGCATAAAATTATGCCACGCATAGGGGGATATTAATGCACTCACATGAGAATGATGAGATAGATTACGTTGGGGAACATTGAAATAGAAGCCGAACCAAACAATGAATACTCGGTTCATGATGCCGAGCCTAGTCATTGAGAGCTTAGTAGAAGAAATAAGAGCTTGGTTTCGATAAGGCCATGCTCCATTCAGAACAACCTTAAATTAGGGGAATCCTATAATCTAGGGATTTAGGTATAACGAATAAGTGTAATTATCGGCTCGGGAAGAGCTAGTCAACAGAGGGAGCATATGCAAGATTGCAGCAATCCCTAACAAATATTCTAGATTAATAGGAGGTGTGCCACTTTGCATCGTCAATTAGGGGAACCCTAATGAGAAGAGATACACTATATAAAGGGTTGAGGATGCATAGTAAAAAGTACACACAACCTTATCTTCATACACATTCTTTCATATACTTTCCGACTTAAGCATCATAGTGCCTTCGATCGAAGCACTTCGGGTCTA